AGGTCAAATTTTGACCAGAAAACAATCTGATAATATTCAGAAGATGAGAAGGTTTCTGTTGTGACAAAGGATGATGGGGGATACAAGGATTTCACTACCCCTTTGAAAAAAAAAAAATGAATTTTTTTAGCTCACCTGCCAATTTTGATCAAACTTGGTACAAAGCATCCTTGGGTGAAGGGGAATTTAAATTGTAAAAATGAAGGGCCAAGTCCCATCACAAGGGGAGATAATCAAAAAACGACAAAAAAAGGGTGGGGTTATTAAAAAATCTTCTTCTCAAGAACCACTGGGCCAGAAAAGCTGAAACTTATGTGGAAGCATCCTGGGGTAGTGTAGATTATAAATTGTTAAAATCATGACCCCCGGGGATAGGGTGGGGCCACAATGGGGAATCAAAGTTTTACATAGAAATATATGAGAAAAATCTTTAAAAATCTTCTTCTCAAGAACCACTGGGCCAGAAATGCTGAAACTTATGTGGAAGCATCCTGGGGTAGTGTAGATTCTAAATTGTAAAAATCATGACCCCCGGGGGTAGGGCGGGGCCACAACAGGGAATCAAAGTTTTACATTGAAACATATAGGGAAAATCTTTAAAAATCTTCTTCTAAAGAACCACTGTTTCATAAAAGCTGAAACTTATGTGGAAGCATCCTTTGGTAGTGTAGATTCTAAATTGTTGAAATCATGACCCCCGGGGGTAGGGCGGGGCCACAACAGGGAATCCAAGTTTTTCATTGAAATATGTAGAAACAATTCTTTAACAATCTTTTTCTCAAAAGCCAATGGGCCAGAAAATCTTAAACTTATGTGGAAGCATCCTTGGAAAGTTTAAATTCTAATTTATTTAAACTATGAGACCTGTGGCCGTGGGTAGGACGCTGTTTTTTCTTTTGATTTTTTTTCGATTGCGTTGGGCGAACATATCCAGATTTAACTCTAATTAAGATACCTGGTTTGTTTTCGTTCATTAGTAGAGGTAATATTTTAAAAGGCAAGCGGTACATTTTGGGATTTTTAGCCGAATAAACTTACAACATACGAAATCAGAACGAGGCTCTTATGTTATAAATGGCCACGTTGCGTTGGGCGAAAGACGCCTAGTTATCAAAGACATATCCAGATTTAACTCTAATTAAGATACCAGTAATATTTTAAGGACCATGGTTTGTCCCCGGTTACATGTTATGTTAACAAGTCATGGTTAATACTAATAGCTTTGATTTAGAAGCAGTTTACAATATATAATTACTTTTTTTTAATTTGACAGAATATATCTCTCCATTTTCATTGTATCAGCCAGGTGATTAGGAAATTAATTATTTTACCCAAGCTAACGCTTTCTTTAATTTTTATGGTAATTTTTAAAAGCATTTAAACATCGAAAGCAGTTATTCAATTTTCCAGCGTTGTTTTAATCGATGTGGTTTTAACATTTATAACAGAGTACAGATTTACCGCTTTTTGGCAGGTGATACTCCTGATTCACGACAAATTAATTTGCAGATATAAACCCAGAAAATGTGCCTGAAAAGTTTTAAAATCTGTGCACCGGTAAAGAAATCGCTAAAAATCCCAAATCCGGGACCGTCGGGAGTCGGGCGTCGGGAGTCGGGAAGACTAGATATACCGCTTACCATTTTAAAACATGCATGAAACATCGAAGCGATTCAATGCGTTGCGATGTGTTCATTTGCGTACGGTATTTGAGTTGATTAAACTGTTTGAAGCTTTTTCCATTTTGCAAATTTATTATGAATTCAACAATTATTCTGCAATCAGTATCGCCGATTAAGTCTGACGTGTGATGGTTTTATATACGAAACTATTCATATAACGTCATGTTTGTGCAGATACGATCATACCTATCTTTATTCAGAAAGCTTAAGAAAATACGATGCACAATGGACATGATGGAAACTCGCAGTCCTAGATATATAGGACGATGTCTAGGATACGGCAAAACAATTTAGAATACAAGATTAATATTTTTATTGATGAATAATAATCGAAATGTCTAGGTTGAGGGAAAAAAGTAAATGCAAGGAAAAAGAGAAGCATGATATGAGCAATGTAGTAATGCAGGCAGTACATATTATTTGAAGTACATTAACATGCCATAGTCTTCTAGCCCCAGGATCATGAAATAGATGTAGACTTAAGTATAATTTTCATCAGCTTGTAGAATGTTTATTAACTAATAACTATGTAATTTATTAATCTAAAAACTTGCAAATAACACTTGTATGGATTTATACTAAAACATAATTTAATTTTAATCTCTTTGGCCTCCACAACATTGAAAGATTTTGACTTAAACCAAAGAGGTGTCTTGAATCATGATCCAGGGGCCTGTCTGAATTAAAAATAAAAAGACTGATTAAGTGAATGTGTTGTGTTGTTTTGTTGCCTGATTATAATGTTATATTCGCAGGGATTAATTTAGGTTTTGGGGAAATTACCCTTTCTGGAGAAATTGGGAAAATCGGCTGGGGTCTGGGCACCAGTCCAGCTGGTGCAGGGAGACACCCCCGGCCCATGATATCTTGGCCCAATGACAGGTTTAGGGTCTGCTCATCTAACTTCCATTGAACATTGTCTCGGTCATTTCATATGAAAACGTTCACAAAGGTTATACATTTGTAAGTTATGCTTTCAACCACATTGTACATAAAGAAAATTCATTCCATGTCAAAATTTAAAAAAAAAAAAAAAAAAAAACGTTACATGTAGTCCATTCCTTTTCACAGATCATAGACCCATGTCATATGTTTCCAATCCTCAGAGGAACAATGCAAAGTGATACGATAAGATACAACATTTATTTGGATTTTAGATTATGAATATATTTTAAATATAAAATGGTATGAAAAAATTCCTACTGTGTTGAAATAGTATTACTTACCATATATATATTGCGCATTTCCCCATGACAAAGATGCAAATTAAGGACTAAAAAGAATTTATTTAGTTTCAAAAATAAACAAATCATTTTTCATAGACCCCCCTGCCTTATTTGATTTTAAAAATATCATTGTCTGAAAGAATAAGTTATCTTTTGATTATTATTATTAATAAAACCAATTCAGACATTGATTTAATTTTTTCTATCACAAGTTTGCTTGGGCCGAGTTGTGTATGGGCCGACGTATCGATAATTTTGGGCCTAGACGTCTATCTACCGCCCTGCGGGGGGTGGGGGGGTGGGCAATTGAACTTTAGCATCTTTTTGACCATTTAATGTGCATAAAATAGCAAAGTAAAACCTATTTCACACTTTCTGATAATCATGTTGATTTCTACTTCCCCCCCCCCCCCCCCAGTTTTTATAAAGAAAAGAACTATTTAAGCTTTTCATTATTGTAAGGGGAAATTTTTATTCATTAAAAAGCTTAAAGGGGGAAATGGGATGTTCATGTGGTGAGAAAACCCAAATATTGGTAGTAAATATGCCCTAGATTAATCCCTGTTTTGTAACAACAAATTATCTTGATGGGAAAGTGTATGCCAAAGGTTTAATTTTATTTTCCGCTTTTTTAAAAAGAACTATTTAAATTATATAATATATCCATACGGTACTCTAATACTGTTAAAGACTGTAATCTAATTGACGTAAAATATTTTTTGCTTTGAAAAAAAAATAACTTGCAGTGATCAAACATCCCATGGTTACAGCAATAATTTAATTGCATTGAATTGTTGAATACATTTTCCATTGTGCAGAAATGATTAATTTAGACGCCCACTCCGAAGGAGGGGTATACTGTTTTACCCTTGTGTGTCTGTTGGTACTTAATTTTTGTAACAGTTTTCTCAGTAATTGTTAGTCGCAGATACTAGAAATTTCAGCACACTGTTTAGGCATTTTCGTACAAATCTGATGTCAACTTGTTCTTTATCTGTGCATCTCAACTATACCTAAAGGAACATTCGCATTTTGAGTTTGGTTGGTAATGTAATAGATCCAATGGATACTAGGTGTTGGGGAGAGTACTATTTTAATGATATCTGATTAAAGCTGAACACCATTCTTAAAAGGAACATGTCTGATATTTTTGTTCAGAGAATCGCTATTATTAGGGCCCCTCTCGGCGGGGCCCTATAGTGATCAGTCTGTCTGTCCTTCCAGCTGTCTGTCTGTCCGTCCGAGATCTCTTGTCCGGAGCATCTCTTCTCTCTCCTTGGCCCAAATTGGCTCATACTTCATCCACAGAGTGCCTTAGGGTAAGCGGTGTGCAGTGACCTTGAACCATGTTTCTACGTCAAAGTCAAGGTCAAAGCAGAATTATATAAAAAATCCTTGTCCGGAGCATATTTTCTCTCCCTTTGGCCCAATCTGGCTCATACTTCACCAACAGAGTGCCTTTGGGTTACCGGTGTGCAGTAACCTTGAACAATGTTTCTACATCAAAGGTTAAGGTCACAACAGAATTATATGAAAAATAGCCTCTCTGTTTAAAATCTTTGTTGGGTGCATAATTCCACTCGGCCTCAAACAAATTGACTGGGTATGTGATTTTCATTCTATATTATGATAGAGGATATGCAACAATTTTCATAGAGGATACATTTCTTAAAGTTTTTTAAATGTATTATTTTTCAGGTAGTAGTTACTTTTTGTCCCCTTTAATCTCAAACACCTTCAAAATTAACCGTTTTCAGCTACCTTTCATTTTCATGTTCATTGCTAAAAACGGGGCCCTTTGAGATGGCCACCATCTCAATGATATCTAGTTAATACCTGCAGACCCCTAATAAAGGGCAGGACTTTGTCACTGTTCATTGTAATCTGTTGACAACAGTGTAGACGGACGTATGATATATACCACTAGGTAGCGACAATAATAACGTAATACTTAGTCTAATGCAGGAAAGTAAGAAATCAAAGAAACTTACAATTATAGTTGAACAGGTCAGTGCAGTATACAAACAAACACAGACACATAACTGCAATAAAATGAAAACAAAGATAATGCAAGATAACGAGCACGAACACA